TCTTTCCTTCCACTCCTACTCTAGCTTGATGTATTAGTTCTTCATGGTTCATTCTTTCAAATTCAATCATTTTAGTCATTCTCATGTTTCCATATGCATGCATGTTCATGAAAACTTGATTTTGATGTTACGATTTGGCTTGGAGAGATTCTCCATGTTTTATGTGCATTTTGATGAAAATTGAATTCATGTTTGGTTGTAAGTTTCTCTCCTACTACATTCATGCCAGCTTCAGTCCCATTCAAGGATGAATGTTCACAAGGGGGAGATATTGTAACACCTGGAAGTTGGAAAGTTGAAAAGGGAAAAAATGAAAAAAAAACTTTAATAAAGATGGTTTTACTAGTTCAACCTACGGCCCGTACGAAGTCCTAAGGGACGTAGGAAGGAAGTCGTAGACTTGGAGATGAGCTCTTTGAAAATTGAGTTCTGAAGTTTGACCTACGACTTGACAGGATGAGCCTTAGGAGTTTGTAGGAGTCATATGACTGACCTGTAGGATTAATTGAGAGATTTGAATCAGAACTTGAAGTCTACGAAATGAAATGATGGGTAGTAGAGGGTTCTATGAATCGTAGAAAGGTTCCATACTTGGCGAATTTTGGAGTGAAACTTATGTTCTACGAATGTGGTCTACGGACCATAGAAAGTTTGACCATAGGTCACAACTATAGCACTGTCTAACAGATATTTTTAAGAAGTATTTGGGTCTTTCATACTCTATATAATGCCTATACTACGCTTTTTAACACCGAATTCTAAGCCCTATAACTACCCTTCACTCTCAAGAAAGTTCCCAAACTCTCTCATTCAAGCAAATCCCTAAATCAACTCCAAGGTTTTCTTCAAAATCCTCTCTCTAGATCAAGGTAGGAGATGCTAGGGTAATTCAAGTTAAAGTTTTCTTTCTTCATTACTTACCTAGGGCTTCAAGATCAAGGTATGTATGGAGGTCATCAATGGGTTCTATTCACCCATTGAGTCCCCAAAGATTCTTCAGTTCTCCAATTCAATAATCACACAAGGCATCGACACTTAAATCAAACAAGACTACACACTTTTGCTAGTGTGCAACGGTCATTACAAGAGAATCAATTCGATAAATAACTAATCACAACAAGATGCAAAGAGTTCAGATATTGTTTATGCAACTTCACTTAGTCTTGTTGTAGCCGCACATTCATATTTGTTCAATTGAGAGCACTATTCAAGTCATCGGTATTGATCCGAACTGAGACTTAAATTTTGCAAGAGAACAACCACTTTCAATGCACGAGAGGTGGCAAAAAATTTCTGGAAGGGTCAAAATCATTTTTATAATTTAAAACCAAAGGGGATCCATGAGCTTAATCATCCACAGAAAGCAGTGTAAAAACAATTTTAAACAGAACAGTCCAAATATACACAAAACACGAAATTGTCAACACAAAAGGTGTGGTGTGGGCCTCACCCCACCAAAAATAAAAGAAATTTGTCCTCAAATGATTTTAACACAGAATCTGAAAGGCAGAATAAAGAAAAACGAAGAGAGAGGTAATGAGGGGATCCTATCTATACGTTTGCTCCATTTGGCAGGGTATTGTTGCCGACAAAATATTACGGTTATTAAGGAACTGACCTTTTGTGCTCAATGAAATACTACCGAGAAGCTAGGTGGCAATGCAATCCAAATCCGCGCACAAACCAATGAATCAAAATACTCCATAAGTGCAAGAAATATAAAACTGCAATGCAGGATTGGGTGTTGAACACATAAAAAGCGAGGGAAAGTGAATGAAGTTGGAACTTTTAAACCTTTGGCTTTATAAACTGTCCAATCGGTGACATTAGTCAAACTTGCCAACTCACTCGGCGGAACGCCAACTGTTTGGTTCTCCACTAAAGTTTACAGAACCTCTGGTTTACGAGGGTCCAACCGGCGGTTTCCATAGAGATCACTGACATGATCTGCGATTTGCCGATGATTTCCCACACTTGTCGAGTTTTACAGACTCTAATGTTGATGATGTCTAGAGTCGAACGGCGGATAAGGTGGAATTCGCCGACCCTTTCGACGGCTCGCCGACTGGATTCATCACTCGCCTATCTGTATTTTTTGTTCGCTCTTCATACTTTCATCTGCACAATCAACACACCATTATTTTATCAAAGCTAAAGGAAGTAATACATGGTTTTGGGTTGCCTCCCAAACAATGCCTTAGTTAACGTTGTGGCACGACGCAGCAGCTCCTTCAGGCGTTTTCTAAATACACCACTTCAACTAAAGAAATCTCTTGACAATCCCCAAAATATAATTTCAGACGTTGATCGTTCACTTTAAATGGGGGTCCTTCCTGATCTACAATTTCTATGGCACCATTGGTGAACACTAGTGTTACTCTAAAAGGTCCAGACCATTTGGATTTGAGCTTTCCGGGAAAGCGTCAAAGTCGAGAGTTGTATAACAAAACCCAATCTCCTACCTTGAAGTCCCACTTAAGTATTCGGGCATCATGCCATTTCTTCATTTTCTCTTTGTAGATGGATGAACTTTCATATGATCTGAGTCTAAATTCATCTAGTTCGTTCAACTGCCCTACCCTCTCCCTTGAAGTTTTTAACCAGTCCGATTCAAGGCTTTCAATGCCCACAATGCTTTGTGTTCTAGCTCGACGGGCAAATGACAAGCCTTACCATAAACCAACTGATATTGAGGCATACCGATAGGTGTCTTATAAGAGGTCCGGTATGCCCATAGTGCATCATCAAGTTTCCTAGACCAGTCAGTTCTGTTGGCATTTACTGTCTTTGTCAGGATGCTTTTGATTTCCCGATTTGACACTTCGACTTGGCCACTTGTTTGGGGATGATACGGGGTTGCTACCTTGTATTTCACCCCATATTTACTCAGTGCCATTGAAAACCACCTACTCCAGAAGTGAGATCCCACATCGCTAATGATTGCCCTAGGAGTGCCAAACCTTGCGAAAATGTACCGTTTCAAAAATTGGACAATACTTTTTCCTTCGTTGTTTGCAAGTGCGATGGCTTCTACCCATTTGGAGACATAATCTATAGCCACCAAGATATTTTTATTTCCAAATAAGCTCACAAATGGGCCCATGAAATCGATCCCCCATATATCGAATAGCTCGACTTCCAAAATAGGAGTGAGAGGCAACTCGCTCCTTCTAGACACTCTGCCTTGCTGCTGACATTGTGAGCATTTCTTTGCAAATTCATCTGCATCTTTGTATAAGGACGGCTAGTAATAACCACTTTGGAGGACTTTAGCGGTAGTGTGAATACCACTATGGTGACCTCCTACTGGAGATGCATGGCAAGCATGGAGAATTCTACCGCTTCCTCTTCCGGAACACACCTCCTAATAACATGGTCAGCACATTCTCGAAACAAGTATGGTTCATCCCAAAAGTACCTTTTATTGGTAAAAGGTCAGCTCATCGGGTATCAATCCACTGACAATGTAGTTTGCAAAGTTTGCATACCATGGTGTGGGTTTGAGAGATATAGCAAACACCTATTCATCAGGGAAGAAATCATTTATGTCGACCTCACGCTCGGCATCTTCCCTTCCTTCCATCCTTGATAAGTGGTCGGCCACTTAATTTTCGCAGCCTTTTCGATCTTTCACCTCAAAATCGAACTCCTGTAGTAACAACACCCACCTTATCAATCTTGGTTTTGCATCTTTCTTCGCCATCAAGTAGCGGAGTGCAGCATGATCAGTGTGTACTATTACTTCGGTTCCTAGCAAGTATACCCAGAACTTTTCAAATGCATAGACCACTACGAGCAACTCCTGCTCCATGACTGTATAATTTCGCTAGGGACTATTCAAAGTTTTGCTTGCGTAATAATTTGGGTGAAATAGTTTGTTGCTTTTTTTCCCCAATGTCATTCCACTAGCATCACACATTACTTCGAAAGATTCGGACCAATTAGGACTGATGATAATCGGGGTGGATACTAATTTTTCTTTCAAACACTTAAATGCTTCCATACAAGCATCATCAAAATAGAACTTCACTTCCTTCTCTAGGAGTTTGCATAGTGGTTGTGCAATCTTTGAGAAGTCTTTAATGAACCTTCGGTAGAAACCTGCATGACCCAAGAAGTTTTGAATACCTTTCACTGAAATTGGTAGGGGTAATTTCTCAATGACCTCAATTTTTGCCTTGTCAACATCCAGCCCTTTTTGCGACACCTTGTGCCCAAGAATGATCCTTTCCTTCACCATAAAATGACATTTTTCCCAATTGAGAACCAGATTTGTATCCACGCATCATTGGAGCACATGTCCTAAGTGTGTCAAACATTCCTCAAATGTGTCCCCTACGACTAAGAAGTCGTCCATAAATACTTCCATAGAGTCTTCGACCATATCCACAAAAATAGACAACATGTAACGCTAGAATGTTACTGAGGCATTACATAACCTGAATGGCATCCTTTTGAATGCAAATGTTCCATAAGGGCAGGTAAAAGTGGTTTTATCTTGGTCTTCCGGCACGATAGAGAACTGATTGTAACTGGAATATCCATCTAAAAAGCAATACCACCCTTTTTCTGATAACCGGTCTAGCATTTGTTCCATAAAAGGCATTGGAAAATGGTCTTTCTCGGTCTATGAGTTAAGCTTTCGATAGTCCATGCATACTCGCCACCCATTCACTTGTCTTGTCAGCATAAGTTCTCCTTTTGCATTTGGGACTACGGTTATACCTCTTTCTTTTGGTACGCATTGCACTGGACTTACCCACTTACTATCTGCGATGGGGTAGATCACTCATGCATCTAGCCACTTGATGATTTCTTTCTTCACCACCTCTTGTATTGGAGGGTTCAATCTCCGTTGATGCTCCACACTAGGTATACATTCACTGTCAAGATGAATCTTGTGAGTACAGATCCCAGGAGGAATTCCTACTATCGGCTATTGTCCATCCAATAGCTTTTATATGCTTCCGCAGTACTTCAATAAGAAATTTCACCTACCCTTAGAGCAAATCGGCTGCAATAATCACTAGTAATGTGTTATTGGCTCCTAAGAAGGCATACTTTAGATGAGAGGATAGGAATTTTAATTCCATATTTGGGGGTTCATCTGTTGATGGCTTTGTAGGAGGACTTTCTCTATTTTTTAGGTCGATGTCCAACTTGATTGGATTCCTTGAGTATACTCCTAACCCTGATAAAGCAGCTACCATTTCCTTATAGCCTTGAATTTTGGATTCATCATAGTTAGCGAGTACAGACTCAAGGGGTTCATTCTTTCGCATTAAATGGCTAACACTTGCCACTGCCTCATCTATAACATCCTCAGTAGACACCACATGGATATTACTTGGTTGCTTAATGGATTTACAGTTATTGAAGGTCACCTCATCATCGTTCACACGGAACTTCAATTTTCCGCTTTCAACATCCACCAATGCTCTCTCGGTACCCAAGAATGACCTTCCCAAAATAATGATTTCAACGTCGATCTCACAGTCTAGAATCACAAAATCAGCTGGAAAGATGAACCGATCTACCTTTACCAATATGTCATGGAGTATCCCCACTGGGTGCTTGATTGATCGATCAGCCATAAGGAGTCTCATTGTGGTTGCCTTTGGTTCACCTAAACCAAATTGCTTGTATATTGCATAGGGCATCAAGTTAATGCTTAATCCCAAGTCGCACAAATCTTTAGCGAATTGGAGCATGCCAATTGTGCATGGAATTGTGAATACCCCAAGATCTTCTCTCTTAGTGATTGACTCATTTGTCATAATTGCACTGCAACTATGGGGCACCTCAATCGTTCCATACTCCAAGGTCCTTTTCTTTGTAACCAGCTCCTTCATGAATTTGGCATACCCCGGCATTTCTAACAATGCTTCTACCAGAGGGAGGTTAATTGATAAGTTCTTGAATACTGACAAAAAAAATTTCAACTTCTCGTCTTCATTCTTGTTTTTCAAACGTTGAGGAAAGGGTGGAGGTATTTTGGGTAAAGGGTGCGTGATTTTCGGAGCTTGAATATGTTGCTTTACATCAACTTGTGGTTCTTTGGCAAGGTTTTGTGGAATAGGTGATTCCCGTTCCTCTATACCCTGGCTCTCTTCCTGCAGTCGAGGGTTCTCATCTTCCATCACATTCCCTTTTTCCATCTTTCCACTATGGGTTACCACAGCCATCCCTCTTTCATTATCTTCCATTATTGTTCTGGAGGATAATTTAGCTGATAATAGACTCAATTGACCTTCTAGTGTTTTGATGGCATCAGCATGAGAATTCACTTTAGTGTTTAGTGATGAAAAGTCATCTCTCATTCCTTTCAGTAAATCATCAAAGCCTTCAACTTTATCAAGTATGCGTGACAATAGATCATTTACCCGAGGACTACTTGCGCTCCCTTTTGATTTCGGGCTTTCACTCAATTGAGTACGGTCTTCCTCATAGTCATCTTGCTCAGCCCAATCGTGGCAATATCTCCTTGATTCTTGATATACCGTGAGTTTACGGTATTTCTAATACATTTCACTTACAAGTTGTGTGTGTCTAGGGCCTTTTTATATTGGTTTTTATGTATTCTATCATGTTTTGCAGGAAAGGTTTTCAGGCGCGGAAGTTTAGAGACAGCTGAAGGAAATGCAGAAAAAGGCATCCACGGAGGTCATCGACGGACCGTAGGTCCATTCACGGTCCGTAGGTGATGACCGTAGACCAGCAGGAATGTGTTGAGGACAAATCAGGGAAATCTGACCAAGTGTGGAACCACGGTGCCCATTGACGGTCCGTAGATGGATCTACGGACCGTACTGTTGATCCGTAGGATGAGACTGTGAGGGTTCCAGTACCTGATTTTTGAAGATTCTAAGTATGGAGCTACGGAAGGGATTGACGGACCGTAGATCGACCTACGGTCCGTGCTGCTGGTCCGTCGTTTGCTTCAGAGAAGCTGATTTTTGGATGCCGAAATATTTTCTAAGTCCCGAGTGAGGGAAGGGACTTACGGACCGTAGATCAATCGACGGTCCGTAAGTCAGTCTCGTGGATCGAAGACGCGTACCTGAACAAAACTTTCCTTAATTTGTTTCCTTTTTTATTTAGGATTTGTTTTCTATAAATAGGACATGTAAACCTCGTTTTTGGGGGTTAGACACTATTATTCTATTTTTTACTTTGGAACTTTGGAGATTAATTTGCAACCCTAGCAATTATTGACTTCCCAAGTTCGTTTTGAAGATTTTGGCTTTGCAATTCAAGTTAATTCTCTGGGTTTATTATTCTCTTTACGTAAGTTCATGATTTCTCCATCTACAATTATGAATTGTGTTCTTGCTAATATGAGTAACTAAATTCACAACTAGGGTTGTGGGAACCATGATCAATTAACAAAGTATGAATAGTAAATAAGCAATTCTTGACTAGTATTTTGCATGCATTGATAATTCTTTCGTTTAGAAGTCTTTTTAACGGTGGCCAACGTTAGAACTCGCCTTGTTACTACTTGCCGGACCAAGGAGGTAATTAACAAGAAAAGAATTATCAACAAAGATTTAGTGTGATACTATCTAATAGGCTAGTGTCGATTGGTGCGAAGTAATAACTAAGCCAAACATCGATTATGATGTCTAATATGAGGTAAAGGTAAGGGTTAGTAAATTATACACACGTAGCCGGACCAAGGTGTGGGGTGAAATTCTCTAGATGCCGGACCAAGGATTTAGAGATACCTAACTTATCACTTTGCATGTAATACACTAGAAGAGGATTGCTATTACTAGAATTACTGCGTTATGAGATTATGGGGAACACGTATACCCTAGTTATTTCTCTTATCTTGATAACAACCAAAGTTGAGTTTAATTATTGATTACAATATTTCGTATTACTATTTGTTTTACACAAGCGCAACCCCCCTTTTTATTATTTGTTTCTGGAAATAATTTGACTAATCGAATATAATTGTCGGTTAAAAGTAAAGTCTAAACCATTTTCCTCGTGGGATCGATCCCAACCTACAAGTTGGGTTCTTTACTTGATAACGATCGCTTATGCTTCTGAAAAGAGGTGTAATTTGAGCGTATCAAATTTTGGCGCCGCTGCCAGGGAACGAACCCGGGTCACCCGCGTGACAGGCGGGAATACTTACCACTATACTCCGTACGATCCAGAGTTGAACAGAACTTTGCGAAGAATGAACAATCAAGGACTTCCAGTTCATCCTATCGGAGGAAATCTAGATGAAGCAGTTGAGTTACAGCAGCCAAGAGTAGTTGGTGGAGAAAACCGGGGTCTAGCTGAAAATCAATTGGGAGATGCACTGAGAGTGCATGGTCCACCAGGCCCGCAACACCATGAAAACTATCGGGGCAACGTCGACATAGCAGATTCCGATGGACCCATCGTCCTACCTCCTCTACCTCCAGGGCACACATTTGTGGTGACTAGTAGTTTGATGCAGATGCTTACAGCAAGAGGCTTATTTTCAGGATCGCCATCGGAGGATCCACATGCTCACTTAGCCAAGCTCAGGGTGGTTTGCAAAAGTTGTGTAGGCAGACCAGACTTGGATATGAACGTCATTGGGTTACGAGTGTTCCCTCTGTCACTGACAGGCGATGCTGCAGTATGGTTCACTGAGCTTCCTTATAACTCAATTTTCACATGGGACCAACTAGCAGAGGTATTTAAAGCAAAGTACTATCCAGTATCTAAGAAGCTCAATCACAAAGATCGGGTCAACAATTTTGTGGCATTACCTGGAGAGTCTGTGAGTAGCTCGTGGGACAGATTCACTGCCTTCGTAAGAAGTGTCCCAAATCACCGTATTGATGATGAGTCACTGAAGGAATATTTCTATCGAGGTCAGGATGATAACAATAAAGCAGTACTTGACACTATTGCTGGAGGTTCATATGGTGATTGTACATACGCACAGATTGCTGAAAAATTGGAGAGGATCTCTCGCAATAATAAAGCGTGGAGCACTAGAAGGTCAGATACTGGGAGAAACACATTTGCTGTTCATAATGCTACTGTTAACTCCACAGATGATATTCGTGAGGAGATGGCTCAGATGAGGACAGAGTTGGGGTTAGTATTGAAGCATGTGAGTGGAGGAGCAGAAAAGGTAAATGCTGTAAATTACTTAACTAGAACTCCACCACCAGTTGAGGAGTGTTACTATGAAGAGGACACTTATGCGGTGAATGATCAGACGGGGGGTTTCCGACCAAACGCCCAAGGATCCAACACGGAAAATTGGCGCCAAGGTCGGAACTATGGAAATTACAATCGAGAGGGTCACTATGTCCGAGATGGGAACTTCAATCGTGACAACAACTACAACAGGAACAACTTTGGCAACAGAAACGATCGGGTTGGACCCTATGTTCCCCCTCAAAATCGGGAATCTGGTGCTAGGGAAGTTGGAGGTAATATGACGCGTATTGAAGATATGCTGCAGAAGATGATGAGAAGGTTTGATGCCACTGATGAGAATGTGAAGGAGATGAGAAACGACTTATCTGGTATTGGTCAAAAGGTTGATGCCCATGCAGTGTCAATAAAGCATCTAGAGCAGCAGATGACGCAGTTGTCTACTACAGTGAACCCGCGTCAACCTGGCACTCTTCCTAGCAACACCATCCAGAATCCGAAGAATGATGAGCATTGTATGGCAATTACCACTCGAGGAGGCAAGCAAACCGTAGATCCACCTATACCGCCTATGGTAGAAGTTGAGAATAGAAAAGAAGATGATGTGGTGAAAGTTAGAGAGGAGTCAGAGGTTGTGACAGAACAAGAAGTGGAGGTACCTCAAAAAGTGGTTCCCATACCTAGACCTCCACCACCTTTTCCTCAAAGGTTAATGAAGAAGACTGAAGATGGGAAATATCGCAGGTTTATCACTATGTTGAAGCATCTTTCTATCAATGTCCCTTTGATAGAAGCCTTGGAGCAAATGCCTGGATATGCAAAATTCATGAAAGATATGGTGACAAACAAAAGGTCTGTGAGTTTTGAAGATGATGATAGATTGCAGCATTGTAGTGCTATTGCTACAAGATCTCTGGTGCAGAAGAAGGAAGACCCTGGTGCTTTCACGATCCCATGTACTATAGGGTTATTACACTTTGCTAAGGCATTGTGTGATCTTGGTGCTAGCATCAACCTCATGCCTTTATCTATTTACAAGAAGTTGGGTCTAGGGGATCCAAAGCCCACGGCGATGCGGTTACTAATGGCTGATCGGACTGTGAAGAGGCCCATAGGTGTGCTCTATGATGTGCTAGTGAAAGTAGAGTCTTTCATCTTTCCGGCGGATTTTGTGATCCTTGACTGTGAGGTTGATTTTGAGGTTCCCATCATCCTTGGGAGACCATTCCTTGCCACAGGGCGTGCGTTAGTTGATATGGAAAAAGGACAGATGAAGTTCAGACTGAACAATGAAGAAGCAACTTTCAATATCTGTAGATCCATGAAGCAGAATGGTGAGCTACAAACAGTATCTGCTATAACTTACAGAGTGGAGAGTGGGTCAGAAGTGCAAATTGAAGAGCGATTAGGTGTTGAGGCACTAGCAGCAGTCATGATGAATTTTGATAGTGATGGTATTGAAGAATATGATGAGTTGGTAGCCGCACTTGATAAGGGTGAATACCGCTCCAAACCAAAGAAGTATGAGCTAGACATGAAGAATCGCGAGTCCCCACCCACAAGACCATCAATTGTGGAGGCACCGAAATTGGAGCTTAAAGCTCTACCACCACACTTGAGGTATGTATATTTAGGCGAAAAGAATACTTTGCCGGTCATCATTGCAGCAGATTTGAATGCAAGGCAAGTAGAGTGTTTGGTGACAGTATTAAAGAAGTTCAAGCGAGCGATTGAGTGGACTATTGCAGATATTATTGGGATCCCCCCGGTATCTGTTCTCACAAAATCCAACTCATGCCAGATCATAAGCCCAGTGTTGAGCACCAGAGAAGATTAAATCCACCTATGCAAGAGGTAGTCAAAAAGGAGATCATCAAGTGGCTGGATGCGGGAGTTATTTATCCCATCTCAGATAGTAATTGGGTGTGTCCTGTGCAATGTGTTCCTAAAAAAGGTGGTATGACTGTGGTTCCAAATGAAAGAAATGAGCTTGTTCCAATGAGGCCTGTCACTGGATGGATAGTTTGCATGGATTACCGGAAGTTGAATG